CTGTCTCTTTGATTGACGACCACTGAGGCTTCTTGAGTGAGTGTGTGTGTGTGTGTTTTGTAAGGAAAGGCGTGATGTGGAAAGAACCAAGTGGTTATGGTATGGATAGTGTAAAATGGACAAGGTGTGGATAGAGGTTAGGGGTAGGAAGGCTAACATGTGGGTGGCGGTGAGCTTTTATGTGGTGGTTGGTAGTGTGGGCGTGGCGTAGGTAGGGGGCGGAGTAGGCGTGGCATGCGTGTGAAGAACGGACGGGCGAATAGACTGTCCCCACGGGCGTGTCATTGACTCACATGCAATTCGGCAGTTAGGGCAATGACAAGCTGGGATAATTACACGTCCAGGCTGCGCCACCCACCCCAATGGCGCCCACAACATTACGTGACCCGGCGACCATTCTCCTCCCCACCTTCTATATCGCTTTTCATTCACCCCGTGATAGAAATCCCATTTACGGAACAACAATATATTAATGAGTTTTATGAAGGCATAAGTTTTTTATCAGGTAATGAATATAATAGTTGCTGTATATGTATGTGTGTGTGTGTGTGTGTGTGTGTGTTTACTATATATGTATTATTTACCTTTCTCGGAGAAGGAATGGGGTAGGGAAGGGAGTAAGGAGGGGGGTAGGAAACGGGGTAGGGAGGGAGGGAGGGTAAAGAGGATTGTGTCACGAAAACAAACATGGTTGAGACCTGACATGACAGCTGGGCATAACGAGGTGACGAAAGAGTTATGGACGTCCGGTTTGTCACTTCGCTCTCTGAAGTGTCAAGTCATCACCGGGATATCATGTCACAGGGGAAAGTCTCATGTCATGTCACCGGTGGATTTTCATGTCAAGGCTGGTCAGGATTTTCACGCTGCGGCCGGATTATCATGTCACAGCAGGATTTTTATGTCGGGGTGTCATGTCATTGTTACCCCGAGTTTTCATGTTACAGTCCGACACTCACGCTCGCACCAAGCCATCTTTGGTCTGTCATGTCACCATTAAACTCATATCATCTCTACCATGACGTGTTCTCGTTCAACCAAGAGAGACAACATGTCTTTGATATTTTAGAATTAAGTAGCTAGTTATTGGATGGGTTCAGCGAATTTCAAGAAGGAGTTATTGTCGTCACTACCATCACCACCGTCACTCATATCACCACCGTTACCGATGTCACCACCGTCACCCATGTCACCACCGTCACCTATGTCACCACCGTCACTTATGTCACCACCGTCACTTATGTCACCACCGTCACCCATTTCACCACCGTCACCCATGTCACCACCGTTACCGATGTCACCACCGTCACTCATTTCACCACCATCACCCATGTCACCACCGTCACCCATGTCACCACCATCACCCATGTCACCACCGTTACCTAAGTCACCACAATCACCCATATCACCACTTTCACAATCTGGTAACACCTTCACCACTATCAAGCTGCATAGAGAGAGAGAGAGAGAGAGAGATCCATCTCTTTAATATTACCATAGTGTGTTTCGTGTCACCCTCAGGTCAGGAAAAACTTAGAGGGTAGCGATATTTTGAAGCGTCGGTATAGTGTGGTGATGCAAAGTCAGGTAGGGAGGTGCGGCGTCGGTGGTAGGGAGGTGCGGCGTCGGTGTTACGGCGTCGGTGGTAGGGAGGTACGGCGTCGGTGGTAGGGAGGTACGGCGTCGGTGGTAGGGAGGTACGGCGTCGGTGGTAGGGAGGTACGGCGTCGGTGGTAGGGAGGTGCGGCGTCGGTGGTAGGGAGGTGCGGCGTCCCTTTCACCGTTTCATTACCAGTTTTGCCAGACGAATTTCATTTAATTTTCTTTTCCATGTCATATTTGTTTTCCTATCTCTAATTTTAGTTCGTTTATCTCTCTTTTCTTTCGTATTTATTTTATCTAATTGATTTTATTTTTCTGTTTTTTACTCTTTTATTCATTTACCTCAGTCACTCTTTTTTTATTTTTTTTCTATTTCTTTATCTATTTTTTTAATATTTCTTTCATTATCTTTTTTATTGTCTTTCCGTCATTTATTGCCTCTTTTATTACAATCCACCAACACGAGAAAATTACCACCAATGAAAATGAACTTCACAATCACCTCCCCCATATACGGACCCACAATCACCTCCCCCATATACGGACCCACAATCACCTGCCCCATATACGGACCCACAATCACCTTCCCCATATACGGACCCACACTCTCCTCCCCTCCCTCCTATACGAACCACCTCATCCCACACACACACACACACACACACACACACACACACACACACACAGAAATACTTTGTTCTGTTACATATATTTTCTTTATGAGTTACAATAATTTTGTTTCTTTGTCGTCGTCTCGGTTATGTTATCATCTATCTTTCTTAATCTGTTTATTCTTTTCTGACGTTATATTTCATGTTGTTTCTGTTCTCTCTCTCTCTCTCTCTCTCTCTCTCTCTCTCTCTCTCTCTCTCTCTCTCTCTCTCTCCTATTACAGTCTACTTAATTATCTCATCAATTATCTTTCCTAACCTCTATAACCCTCTCATTTTCATCGCAATTCTTCTCCTTTTCTCTTCTCCTCCCTTATCAACCTGCCACCTTCCTAATTACTCTTCGGAGGGAGAGGGAGGGAGGGAGAGAGGGAGGGAGGGAGAGAGGGAGGATAAATGCCAAGAATCAATAAGACTTCTTGTATGCGACAATGCATAATTAATAATGATAGTCGGAGGGAGGGAGGCAGGGAGAGAGAGAGAGAAGGAGGGAGGGACTGGACAGCGGGGAAAGGGAGTGTGAAAGACGGGAGGAAGGGAGAGTAGGTAGGTAAGAGTTTGGAGGAACGGGAATCTTTGAGTGGAAAGAAAAATCCGGAAGTGCGGGAAAGGAAGGAGGAGAAATTGGAATTGAAAGGTAGGGAAGAGTAGAAGAGTTAACTTTAGAGGGACTGTGTGAGAGAGAGAGGGAGGAAAGGGCGTCTGAAGGGAAGGCAGGAGAGAGAGAGAGAGAGGAGGAACGGAAGGGAAGGGAAGGGAAGGGAAGGGCGTCCATCCATCCATCGGCTACAGAAACGTCAATAAACACTTACGTTTATAATCATACTTTTCGGACAAGTTTCAATTAGTATCGACGGAGTTTGTGTCTGATCGCCGCTAATGGGCACCCACGGCTGATTTAATGACCACATTTATTATAATTACCCAGAAGCCATTACACTTAGTTATTCAATAAATTTTTATGATACATTTGGCTACAGCGTATAAAGACTGCAAACCTATTACCCAGATGTGTACACAGATGGCAATAATACCCAGAATGATGATAAGAATGATAAATAATAATGCTGTTATTTTTATTATTATTATTATTATTATTATTATTATTATTATTATTATCATTATCATTATCATTATTATTATTTGTAGTAGTAGTAGTAGCAGTAGTATCATTATTAACATATTACCGTAACATAATAAGAGTAGCAACAATATTAATGGTACCGTAAATAACAGGTAAACAAATTAATGACTGTAGCCATTTTTTACCCGGGTGTGTTTGACAGACAGACGCTACATGACATCGTAATCCCAGCGTCCGACACTTCATGGATGACAATCACAATCCTGGTGACTGACACTTTGAGACTGAGGCATCCTAGTCCCGGCGTTTGACACTTCGAGACTGACACATCATAGTCCTGGCGTTTGACACTACATGACAACACAACCCCAGCGTCTGACAAATTATGACCAACACAACAACCTGGAAACTACCAAATTCTTAAGTGAAGAATACCTCAGACAGTAATACACAGGTGGGTATCGCTCGTTTAAACTACAGTAATCTGACACCGAGGAAGTGTGTCACGGAAGGGCGGGCGGATAAAACATTAACTTCCGTATATTCGGTCACCCTGGTGATAAGGACGCATAGCAGTCGAGTTTGGAACACATTTTTGTGAGACATTTCAGTGTATGATATTATATTCCTCTAACTTGACAATAATTTAAGTTTATTCGCTGATACAACCTTACGACACTTCAAGACAGTTTATCACCAAATGGTACCGGCACACGTGACTCAAGCGGTGGTGTGAGCTGACTACATAACACACCACTTCATTACAGTATCATCACGATGTATTATATTACGATTCACTCAGTGCTTTAGGCTTATAACACAACAGCTCACAGTTCTGTAATCTTGTGGTGCATGAACTTGCTTCACTACTCTGTGCTTAAGATGCTGTACACGATATCAGTGACATGGCCTCATGATCGAACCAGCCACACTGACGCTGATGAATGACAGCACATCATTCCTCTGCTCTACTGAACGTGCTGTATGATATAACGTTTCTACGTTCTACAATTCCTCACGATAATGGTGTAAAGAAGCAACATAACATATACGTAATACAAGAAGTATATATGATGTTGAAATAAGGATATATGTTTATATATACAGCATATATATTTTTTTAATCACAACTAAAGACTGTAGAGGGGAGGTGTAAGGAAGTCCTCTCGTCGATAGATTGTAGTTTAATATAGGCATAAGAACCTTTCATTGTCGTAACACCTCAGCGCTGGTTGTACAGAATATACGAATGTTTAGCATCATCCCACAACATCAAAATGTACATCAAACTTTGTCTTGTGACTCTTGTTGTTAAGACACGGTACAAGGATATCAACAACAAAAAACTCTTCGGCGATGTGGTCGGCTTACGAAGTTTTTATCATGTGTCAAACATCATCGTTACCAAAGCATTAATTTCCACACACACAAAAAAAAATAGAGTTGGGGGGCGGGATAAGACTTGAACTGGCACCAGTCACATGGTATAAAAACCTGACTGTATTTTCTCTTGTGGCTTTTAATCAGAATTATCTTGGTACAGGTGGCTGGTGAAGAAGAGTCAGCAATACTATTACTTTGTCGTAGCTTAACTCCCATTCTATTAACTTTCTATACAGCCAATATTTTCTTTTCTCCAACAGATGCCGTCAACCTCTTCAACAGTCGACAGCCGCCCAAGAAGAAGCGGAAGAGCAGGACGGCCTTCACCAACCACCAGATCTTCGAGTTAGAGAAGCGCTTCCTCTACCAGAAGTACCTCTCCCCCGCCGACAGAGACGAACTTGCACAGACGTTAGGCCTCAGTAACGCGCAGGTGAGTGTTGTGTGCAACTTTTGAGTGTTGGAAAAAAATGGTGACGCTTCTGTAGAGTATGTAGGAAAACTTCTGAAGTGAAATAATTTTGGGGTAAATTTGCGCTTTGTAGATAGCTTACAGATTCCGCGTGACTATTAGATTCATTATAGGGAGTGATTATGAAAGATTAATATGTTAGAAATGAAAGTAAGATTATGAGTGCCTAGTAGGGTTGCTAGTGTCTACAGGAGAACAAAAGGAAATATTTATACCGTGAATATAGTTGTGAGATATTTGACGTCTTGTGTGTATTAACAGCCACTGACAGGACCAAATGTAATCTACAGCACAAATATTTCCTTAATTTCGGGAATGTGAGGCTTGCAGCTATCTCTTTCAGGAGTCTCCAACCAGACACTAATACTCGAGCGGCATTTTCTGCACGTGTGCCTAGAGATTGAGTAGAATATTTTCTTGTAAATCTTTCAATACTTTCGATACCAAGAAGCACGGGTTCAGCACGGGTGGTAGGTAATATTATGATGGGCTGAAACAAACTCGAGGCATAATAAACTAATACTTATTTTGTTTAAAAACATTCTGGTCTTTAATAGTATGATCCCTGGTCTCTTTTTCAATGATCAGAAGTTTTCCAAGAAATATTTTATTGGTATCGACTGAAACCAACTGATTTTGAAATTCCATTTAAATATATTTCTCACAAATATGATGAAGACAATAAACAAATTCACTAAACATTCTTAATTTTTCTCAAGTCTTCGGACACCCAATATTCAACACACTCTTCTCAACTGATCATCTCTTCCCGCAGGTGATTACGTGGTTCCAGAACCGACGAGCGAAGCTGAAGCGGGACATGGAGGAGCTGAAGAGGGACGTGGAATGCACCAAGGTGATCGCTACCAATAAAACGCTGCTGGAGGCCTCCGTCAACGTGGCAGCGCTCCTGAAGGTGAAGGAACTGCCCAGGATACCCATGACCTCGCTCTCCCAGCACTAGTGTCACGCCTTCACCTGCTTATGGCCCTTACACAGGTGAAGGAATGTTGGCAGCAACGCCTGCCTGCCTGCCTCTTACGACACGCTGAGATGAAAAGTTGATACGATCATCTGCATGTCGTGTCCTGTCCGAGGAATGTCAGATGAGAGGCTGCAGAGGAAGTTTGCCTCTCATTTCCTGTCCGAGGAAGATCAGATAGGAGGTTGATAGAGGCGTCTGCCTGTAGTGTCTTATTTTAAGACACTGTAAGGGAGGTCTGAGATATTAATATTCAGACCATATGATATTGAAGGGACGATTGCTTACCAAGTCCCTTCCTTAAAAACGAATATGAGAAACTTTGTGAGGGTAGCACTCATTATCTCCCGTCCAGTGACAGTGAGGTCTCGAGACCAGTGAACAGTGAGGGGGGATAAAGGAAGTGTAACGATCATCAGTGTGAATTTCGTCCCTGTTTATAAAGTTTTCAAAGTGGCTCAAATGCCCGCTTAAATTATAGTACTTATTCTCTTATCACCCCTGACCCATCATTCTCATTTTCAAAAAAACTTTGATCATCTGATGATCATCATCATAACTACTATCATCAGTCAAGAACTCATCGTCACTATCAACATCACCATCATCACCATCATCAGCGCCCAACACCAGGGACAGCAGCTGCTCCACCGTGTGTTTCCTCCAGGCACAAAAAACATGACGCCGAGAGCAGTAAATAGTGTGGAACAATGACAGTGAAGCAGCAGCTTGAAAATACTCAGTAGTGAAGGTGTATTTATCTCCTCTCAGTTGTGCTCTGTTACATAAGAGACTCAGTCGGAGGAGGAGTTAAATCAGCGTAATAATCGTCTTCACAGTTATTGTTATTAACATAAGCTTCAGATGACGAGAAAAAAAACACGGGAAAAATCACAGCACCGCTAACAGTAAAACCGCTAAGATAATGAAGGACTAATAGTTGTTATTGGATGTAGACGATACAAGATGGCGACGGAGACTGTAAACATTGACGTGATTTATCATTGCATTATAATCGCTTAAAATGGTTCTATGATTTTGGTTGCAGTATAACTTTGCCTTGTAATGATTCAACTGTTCTATAGTCCAGAAATTCCTTTGTAATAAAATTAATAACTTTTTCTGATAAATTTTGGTATGTTGTCCACAGTGAATCATTCATATTTTCTTTAGTAGTTGTAAACAACGTAAATCTTCGATAGACATAACTTCAGCTCAGTGTATTAAACTCTTATGTAAATCGACAACTGTGACAACATAGACGATATCGTAAGCCGGCTTATATAACCAGTATTGTTTCTTACTTAACTAACGTTAAAACCAAACACAGTGCAACATGATCCTAACAAGTAGTAATGATCACCAAAAATGTTACTTTCAAATTTTTTAGAACAAATAAACATTTATGTTTAATGTCTTTAAGAAATAAGAGAAATAAAATAAAAAGAAAACTCGAACTATAGGTGATTTTAACAGTGAAATGGAAAATATTTGTAGAGAAGAAGAAAAAGAAAACAATGACGGAGATATCTTCTGCCGGCACTTGGTGAGAGACAGGACAAGCAATAGGCAGACTCAATACAAATTCTAATGCCAACATAATTTAGTCTGACGAAATCCACGGGCAGCAGTCCTCTCGCAGGTTAGAAATCTAGGGAGCAGCTGCCACCAGTCATCCTTCTTTGGGCAGCTCTTCAAGGCATCATTCACGGTGTTCCTGCGTCGGTACTTTCGACTCAGTAGTATTTCCTCTGCGGGAGTGTTCCGTTTGTGCAACACATTACTTTTGTATCAGTATTCTTTCTGCAGCGAAACTTCTCCTGCCGCAGTGCTCCTTCTGCTTTAGTAGTGCCGCTCCCTGCAGTGGTATCACCTTCTGCAGCTGTACTTATTGCGCAACAGAACATCTTCTACAGTATCGTATCATATCATCTTCATCAGTACCACTTCTGCAATAGTACAGTATTTCTCAGCGGGAGTACTCTCGTGTAGCAGTACCTCACCCCATCATCACAGTAACTCTGCAGGAGACTCCCCCCCTCCCTTCTCCCCCCCAAACATATGTTTATAATTCATCCTGTTCTGTACATAGTGACCTACCAGGAGTCCGGTGTTTATATTCGTGCAGTGATATCTCTGTGTAACTTTATATAATGACTGTGTAATATACATTATACATATATATACATTAGTTTAGACTTCTGAATATTGAAAAACAGGAAAAAATGTTATTTAATGGATTGTGTCCCAGTCGTTAGATTATTAAAGAAAGCTCGAACGCTTCAGTTACAGTGATTGTTATTGTCTCTGTGAGGCAGGCTATTGGTTTCGTTCTTTGTGACGTCACACTGTATCTGAACGCTGATTGGCTACTGAAGTATTATTTCAGGGAATATGCAAACATTTCAGGCAAAAATAATTCATGAAAATGATGTAATGGAATTTATAAAATAGATATACAAAAATTAATGAACTCGTTTTGAAATACAGTCACTTACCATGACCACTCGTGTGTTTGAGTGACTAAAGGAGTAAGTTATTCTTTATATCATAATTATGTCAGTCTTTCAGGCCTCAGATGCCGTGCTGTTCAATACATCATTTATACAAGATTATTAAACCTACTTAAATCGCATGGTATAGCCTATAAATCTCTGTTATAGGCGGCCATGTATGGATCTCAGATTTTTCTTAAAGTGTTTTAAGTGTTGGCTTTAATGTACAAATTGTAAAGGTGTTTTTTAAAGCACAAATTGTTGTAAATATTGTATGTTATGTGAATATGTGTAATTTAATGTAGAAAATAAAATCTCTAGACCCGACTAAATGTTTCACTAATTATATTTAAATATTACATGACAAAGAAATATACAGTATAATTATACATACGGAATTTTCTATCAACAGTCCTCAGTACTCGACCACAAGGGAGGAATCATATGGTTGAAACTTTCGTGAGAAATTACTTTAAATATTTATTATTCATCTCAACAACATGAGCAAGACAAAAAGAATCAACACACACACAGACACAGACACACACACTGCTTGGATAATTATGACATATGCACATCTACTGTACTTCTTTTCATGAGTTACAATAGTTACGTCACCGTGTTTCCGTCACTCTCCGGCGTGAGTGGCTTTGTGTTCCTCCACTGGAACTCCACCGACCTATACTGTCAGTTTGGTTACTGATTCAACCTATATTTCTGGAACTATTTTACTCTTCTCCTCTAGCCTTACCTAACACTCATATACCATTACTTACCTGTCTTATATCCCGGGTCACACCTGTCCAAACCGTCACATAAGACTGACAAAGGGACCTCCTCACAAATTAACTAAAGTATCAAAATATCAAACATGGATAAAGTATATAATTGTATAGTTTAAGGTTCAGCCAAGATCACCGAGAGTATAAAATTATGTAAGTTAGTGAACTGCATACTGAAGTTGATGTCAACGGCTCGACTCATTGTTTCACGTGCTGAGATTATACCGTGCTCAAAATATTCTGGCGTGCGCAATTCGATCAAAATCTTAACCAAATCTAACTAGACCTAACCGAAATTGACCAAACCAAACCTACTTTTTTTAATCCGATTTTTTTGTTTTTTTTTATTCCGAGGAGTAATCTTCAAGCTCGGTACAATCTCAGCACGCCAAACCCGTACCGATGACCTATAATATAACCTAAATTTACATAACTTAATATGACTAAACGAATTTTTGTTTTCTTTATTTTCATTCTCAATATCTCACGAGAAATCAAGTCTGTATCCCCGCCCACGAGCGCTGCGAGCATCAGAGGAGCCTTGACGCGGCTCCTCCACCAGCGGCCGACGCCCTCATTAGGAAATTATACCGTATACTGTACTGGTTTATTTCGTTAATGAGATGATGATGTCTGTTAATTGATCTAGTTTATCGTAATATATACTTTAATTTAATTGTTAAAATATCCTCAGAGATTAAGAACAAGTAAAGATTTTAATACAATTTCATCTTTTCTCCCCTCACCATCTATAGATACGGGTCATCGTCAATAGCCACTACCTGCCGTAAAGAAGTACAGATACATCTTTTTATTTTAAGAATATTTGTTAACACTCCGAAAAAAATGGACAGTCGAATAGTTAGAAAGATTAATGAGATGTATAAGATGTTTGAAGTTCCGCCTCAGTGGACTTTACAGCAATAAATAAGAGTAAATGATCGAAATCCATGGAGTTGAGACATGAGCGAGTTTCTTTTGTTATTTTTGTTATACACGGTTTCGTTACGTTTTTCAGATATGATCAAGTACTGTACTATGCAGGGGACAGACTTGGCTATAAAGACGCTTAGAAATGACAATGGATTCCTGTATTACTTGAGACTGGTGGAAATAGTGAAGGATGAGTATCACGGCTATTGACTAGTTGGAGTAATTCACTTTATTTATTAAAGGACTGGACCTCAATGTTTGGATGACTCAATCACATTCAAAAGCAACATACACATTTTTCTTTCAAGGGTATTATGTAACTAATACAAGCTACCAGTGTTGCCTTCTAGAAGTAAAAATAAAAAGTGTCTATATGGAAAATATGGTTCAGAATTCTCTAACTGGCCCAATAAATAAGGAGAAGTGCATGATAGGAGTAACACCTACGGAGAGCAAAATAAATGAATGCTTGATTCTTAAATAAAGAACAAGACGCAAGAGTGAAGGCAAATGGACTGAAATATAAGTAGGTAAGTTAAGTTAGAAGATAAAAGATCATTAAAGTAAGGAAATTTAAGACTGAATTCCACAACCGAACAAGAGAACAAATAAGACAAGAGTTGACGAAACGAGGAACCTTGGAGGCGGTAAGCGAGCTGATGGGAAAAACGCGGTGTTAGTCTAGCAGTGCACTGATATACAGTAGACTAATTTAATGAAAAATATTATAAACTAGAGAGATGTATCTCTTGCATCTTAGATGATGATGAGTACTGTATTTGCTAACCCAGAACGCGCTTAAAGACCTTAATTGTTAAAGTAGAACATCTTCAATTGGGACATGAATTACCCCAACTATTGACCTTCTGCGCCTACAGCTATATTCTATGGTCAATATTATAAAACTTATTAAACTGTACACAGATAACCCAAGAGTTCACTTAAACACAATCAGTTATTTAATTATCCTACGACTTGAGAGGTGTCAGGGTACCACTACCGCGGGACACCTCCAACACGGGTCCTTCAATGCGAGACTAAACAACAAACTCAGAAAGACTCACAGCATAACTGTTTTTTTTTTTTCGTATTGAAGTATTCATCTTTGCATCACTGTTGGCGTTTTTACAAGACTCTTCTCCTTTCCTTATATCAGTGGCCTCATACAGCTACATTGGACGTTGCTGTTATTATTATTATCATTATTATTATTTTTATCATTATTATTATTGTCATTATTATTATTATAGTTATTGATATTATTATTGTTGTTGATGAGGATGGTGGTAGTCAGATAAGAGTATTAGTTCCATCATATTATTAACGATGATGCTAATTATCAATATATATGATCTCTACAAGACTATATTCACGATAAGAATTGTTTTAGTTCTTTATATTATTAATGTCGTTATTAAGGATGTTAAAATATTAATTATTAATAATAATATTACTTATGCCATCACTTTCCCTTTCTTCAATATTAATAAATTATTATCATTATTATTAATTGATAAATTGTACGAGATTTTCCCGTCCTTGCCCCAACACCTTTTCTGTAATTAACACATCGCTGGGACGGAACAGCTGCGACTATTTAAACAAAGAATATATTATGGGCACTAATTACAAGTTTACGGCCCTGTACGGTCTCATGTAAGCTGTAGTAACGACATGGTAAGACAGATGTTTCCTGGGACATGAGAACACCTGCTTCGGTACATCTGTGAAGGTCCTGGTGTTGATAGTGGTGAACAGGACACGTGTATGGAAAGACCCCTCCCCCTCCCCCTCCCCCTCCCCCAACCTCCCTCTCTCCACCCATCACCATCAGTACAGGGTGTCTGAGAGGCCGTGTAGCAGGCCCCCAAATATGAATGAATATTAAATTTACTCTTTCCTGTTGTCTAATGTGTATTTGTATGCCATCTTTCTTGATTTATTTCAAATCCTTCACCTAAAAAAAAATGTATATATTAATATTCCTATGATGTGCAACTTATGTAGTATATAGTGATGGGTTAACTGCTGCTCTGTTATTTACGTTCCGATAATAATAATAATAATAATAATAATAATAATAATAATAATAATAATAATAATAATAATAATAGTATTAATAATAATAATAATAATAAGCCGTGAACTCTCGGTTACTTCCACCATATAGGTACACAAACTTGTTTTAAAGAGTTCCCCAGTTAGTACTGTATATTGTCGAGTCTCCGAGGTATTCACTAAAGGTGTTGGTGAAGGGGCGATACACCCTCGCCCACTAGTTGTACAGGTAGTATATGTAGGGCACTTACCGTTTAAGTAATTAAATGATTGTGTTTGTACATAGTACTGTCCTGCATCCAACGGTTCTTTAACAGCATATATATATTTTTCTTATTTCCTATTTCATTTTTTTTAACTATTTGAGTTATTATTATTATTATTAAACTGTAAATAATACAGAAGTGGTCATGCAAGATGACTCCCCATCATCTAGCATGAGGCAGTCCGTGCACTAGGCCCTTTAACTCTCTCTTTTCCCATCGCCGAGACCTCATCAGATAGTATGTGACAAACTGCTGCACCACCGCAACCTTCTACCACCCGAGGTTCCTCCCCTGAGAATTGCTGTTCTAATCCACAACTGCATTAAACCCACACGACACCCAGACCACGACACCCAAACCACGACACCCAGACCGCGACTCCCAGACCGCGACACCCAGACCGCGACACCCAAACCACGACACCCAAACCACGACACCCAAACCACGACACCCAGACCGCGACTCCCAGACCGCGACACCCAGACCACGACACCCAGACCGCGACACCCAGACCGACAAAACCACGACACAGACCCGACCACGACACCCACGACACCCCACCGACACCCAGACCGCGACACCCAAACCACGACACCCCAGACCCGCCCGACACCCAGACCGCGACACCCAAACCACGACACCCAGACCACGACACCCAAACCACGACACCCAGACCACGACACCCAAACCGACACCCAAACCACGACACCCAGACCGCGACACCCAAACCACGACACCCAGACCGCGACACCCAAACCACGACACCCAGACCGCGACACCCAAACCCGACACCCAGACCGCGACTCCCAGACCGCGACACCCAGACCGCGACACCCAAACCACGACACCCAAACCACGACACCCAAACCACGACACCCAGACCGCGACACCCAAACCACGACACCCAGACCACGACTCCCAGACCGCGACACCCAAACCACGACACCCAGACCACGACACCCAGACCGCGACACCCAGACCGTGACACCCAGACCAAGACAAAAACAGCCACTCTCCAACCACTGTGAAATTCATCAGTGATTCATAAATGTCTTGTATTATTCAACTGTTTTTCTGTTTATATTAAATTTGCACTAAAAGCCTATATCAACCCTTCTCCTTATTCCGCTGTGTGTTATATACAGGTAGGCCTACGTATCAACTTTGTTCTTTGTCTTATTTTCAGCTTTTTGTTGCTTCATTTGTAAGACTCCATTATTATTATTATTATTATTATTATTATTATTATTATTATTATTATTTATATTATTATTATCATTA